CTCCCTTTACCTCCCTGCAGAGCCCTCTGGAACTCATTCAGAGATAACCGGTCCTCTAACTCTGCTCATTCAGAGATAACCGTTCCTCTAAGTCTACTACCTCCTGGCTTTTAGCTTGCCATGCAGACTGCATGTACAATCTGTCCTATGTGTGGAAAACCCTGAAAATGTGACACTGGCGGGTGAAATGACCAGTGTGCCTGCTTTGGGTGCTGTACCAGGTTCTCATAAAACAATGGAGAGCACCGCCCTACTTGTGGGGGAAATTCCAGCCGCACTACAGGGTTCAAAGAGGACTTAATAATGAGAAGGGTTTGTCGCCCAGCAGTAGAGTCCCTGCTTAGCATGCAGAGGCTCTGGTCTCATCTCCTGTACCATGAAGAAAAACAAGCAAAATAAACAAAGTCGAATGAGAATATGTGAGAAAATATTTTCACGTTTTTGTTCACGGTTTTCCTTTGAAACTGGCATGCATGGCTTTATATGGGAACTGAAGTGTAAAGAAAGTGTGCTAGTGAAATTATGAAGCTGTCAGCTTTACATAATAACTGACAAATCGTTAAGAATTATGTTTCCCGTGTAATGTTCTTCCTTCAAGTCCCTCGGTCTCGCTTTTCTGCTCATTCTGTGACAAATATGAAAGCAGCTGAAGGAACACACGATCCCAGGGACGTAGCTTGACAAGAATGGTAGCGGCATCCTGAGCATGCACACGGGTTCTCAGCTAGGGCCAGGGTTGAGGGTAGAAGAAGGAAAGCCTGCAGTTCAGGCTTACATGACGTGACTCCGTAAGGAGACAGACACTTCCAAAGGTGCAGGCGTTATCCTAAGCTGCTGTCCTCAGATTCGGGAGAAGCGGGGTGGCTCTGCTTCTCTGGCTGTCCACCGTGTTTTCCGCCCTTCCCCGGCTGAGGTGTTTATCCAGTGCCGTGTATAGCGGTGTTTCTCTGGTCCGACTCTACAGGTTTTATGTTCCTGAGGTCTAAAGGAAGCAGTGAAATATTTTCTAAATGAGGACTGTGCTGTGTTGATGGACGTTTCTGTCCAGCCTGGTCCCGCTGCTCTTCAGTCCCAAATAAACGCACAGAGGCTTATATTAATTATAAGTTGTTTGGCCAATGGCTCAGGCTTCTTATTGACTAGCTCTCTCTTAATTATTAACCCATTTCTATTAATCTGTGTGCTTCCACATGGTCCTGGCTTACTGGTGATGCCTGGGCCTCTTACTTTCTAGGTCTCTACATGAGTCTCTCTGGAGACTCACTCTCTGAGTTCCTTTTCCCAGAATTCTCCAAGCCCCTCCTGTACTTCCTGCCTGGCTACATCCTGCCTGTCCATTGGCCGAAACAGCTTTATTCATCAACCGATAAGAGAAACATATATTCATATAGAAGGATGTTCATCCCCATCAGTGCTGTAAAGGTTTTATATACACTTTGATGTGCTTTTCCAGCTGAGGATGTTCTGCCCACAGAGCATTTAGCATGGGGGGAAAAAATGAACTTTTAAAGCATTTACTTAGTGCCCATCGATAGGAATTGATTTCTAGCTTTTTTTTTTTTTTCTCTTGATGCTGTAGAACTCTGTCTCCTTCAGCAGCAAATCTGACTTGGAGTGGGTGGCTCAGGGAGGTGCAACTGAGTGTGTGTTCTGTTGTTGAAGTGTCCTGAGCCCCTTACTTCCACAAACTGGACAGGAAGATGTGGCGGAAGCACTGTCCCATCCCGTTAGCCTGCAAAGCAGTGTTAGGCGTTACTTTCCAAGGGAATGCAAAGAGTAGAAGAGCTCCGTACAGCGGGATTGGCATCAGCAAGGAGCCCTGCTCACTATCAGAAGTCTGAAATTATCTAGGTTGACTCGGAAGCTGTAATTAATGACGTGGGTAAACAGTTTAATAACTGTTTTAAAAGTAAACGAGTGAGTGTAGCTTCTGGATGCCGTCTTCCCCATGGATCGCTAAGCCCCTTGTTCTTTACGTGCAGGTTCCTTATTCCTAGTCCGTTCCGGCTGACCTTCTGCTGGCACCGCTTACTTAAGTCCTTCAGTGCTTCCATGACGTTTAGCTGTTGCTTTCCCCTCTACATCCATCCCTTCCTGTCAATCCCCATGTCCTCAGCTTCACCCTTTCACCATTGGAGATGCTGAAAAGTAGCCTGGCTGTGGTGGTGCACACCTTTAACCCCAGCAGGCAGATCTGAGTTCAAGGCCAGCCTGGTCTACAGCAAGTTCCAAGACAGCCAGGGCTACAGAGAAACCTGTCTGAAAAAAAAAAAAAACACACACACACACAAAACAAGCCGGGCAGTGGTGGTGCATGCCTTTTTTAGTCCCAGCACTCGGGAGGCAGTGGCAGGCCTCTGTGATTTTTAGGCTAGCCTGGTCTACAAAGAGAGTTCCAGGACAACCTCCAAAGCTATGCAGGAAAACCCTGTCTGGAAAAGCCCAAAGAAAGGTGAAAAGTAGTAGGCGACATTCTGTGTCAGGTGACATGCTGTGCTGAGGCGTTAAGGAGGAAAGCTAATGATTGTGTTGCTACTGACACCAGATAGTTTAGGAGCCAGGAGACACAGATAAAACAATACGTGATGAGATAAAAAGAATCGGAGAAGGATTTTAGTCAGCAAGCAATCCTTGGAAGACAAAGTATCCCAGTGTTTTACGTCAGTTCCCGTGGATTCATGACCTTTTGTTTTCTCCTTCTGTGTGGTATTGGGATTGACCGAGGGTCTTGTAGATGCTAGAAAGACACTCTGCCGTCCAGCCGGGTGCTCAACCCTGTGAGTGTGTAAAGCTTCTTGCCCTGCTCTTAAATAGTGACTCTTGCAATTCCTTTGGGGGGGGGGGCTTGTTTAGTTGTTTTCCGTTTTGATTTTAGAGCCCCGATTGGCCTCAGACTCATAATCAGTCTTCTTGGCTCAGCCACCTGAGTGCTAGGATTATAGATGTGTGCCATCGCGTCTCTCTTCAATTCCTAAGAGCACTGGCAATAACTAGCTGTCTTCTCTTATGAAAAGCCTTTTAAATGGTTGCCAGAGAAGCACCTTTCAAATCTAACCAGAAGCAAAGCGGTGTCCTCACCACTGTCCACCTGAAATCCCACACATGGCCTAAGGAAGAAGCCTTCTAGAACAGAGCCTCTCTCTCTACTTGGGTCGGAATCCTGCAGGTCGGGGAGGGGCCGAGAGTTTTGCCTTTTTTTAGGATGTTTCCAGATAATGCCGATGACTGTGGAGGCGTCAAGTCTCCAGGGTCAAGAGTAAGGGACAAAGGTGCAAACGGGCGGGGCTGGCAATGTAGCTCAGCCTGGTGGCCGAGGATGCACCAAGACCCTTGTTTGGTTCCCAGCACAGCCAATCCCCACCCCAGAGGGGAAGGCACGTTTGCTTCTATCTACATGGATAGGTGCTCTGGTCTACATCTTGCTTACTTTTAATTATTTTTGCCAATGCAAGTTAAAAACTAACAACCCAACTGAACTGACTCTTGGCCCTGCTCCCAGGAGCAGCTAATTTTGTCAGTGATCTGACTGGGAAATCCCTACCTCTCTCCCAACCCAGGATGTGAGTCTCCTGCTTGTCCAGGCCACCTATGATAAAGGTGTACATCCCACCCATCTGAGTGATAAGAGGCTCTGGCCACTGAGTAACAGGAAGCCGTGTGGTTGGTGGCGGGAGGTGTTCCTTTTGGCATTTTGCCTAGATGCAACTGGTTTGTGTCGCTTTGAACTGCAGGAATGGTTTCAGAGTCTCTTGTTTTGCAGTGTAATCAGGACCTGGCAGAAAATGTGTCCCTCGCTCTGGACTCACATTAGAAATTCTTATAATTTGGAACTCTAGAGGTTGAGTGACCTGCCTGTGGCCTGGAAAAGAGCCCCAGCAGGACTGGAATGCAAATGTCTCTTCTGCTGGAGTGTTTTTCCTGCTGGCTTTCTCTGGATCTCTTAGTGGATTCACCTGTTCTCCTCTGCTAGACACGTTGCTGACGAACATCAGAAAAGCAGGTTGTTGGTTGCTGAGACAGTTCCACACTGCGCCTCAGTCCACGGCCATGGTCTTTCTTGTTGCCGAAGATGTTGCGGTCATACCCAGTCTGGCCCAGATAGGCAGTTTTTAAAAGTGTCTTGTTTCTGAGTGTGTACATCCTATGCTGGGATCGGTTCCCATCATCCTCCCCGGGGAACCGTGCCGTGGAATTCCCCTTACAGAATGGATTGAAACAGTGCATTTCGCTGCATGAGCTCTGTCTCTGCACGCACTGCAAAGCCTTGGTGAGGTCAGACTGACAAGGAAGAGCTGATAAATGGCCTGGAAGCGCTTTTCCAACTTCAAGCTGAGTCATAGTCACCTGGAGGGAGGCTTGTTGAAATGCCCTTATTAGACTGCTGGGTTCTGCACCCTTAGGGTTTCTGTTTCTGTAGGAGGCTGGGTGGGGCCTGACACCCCCTAGGTTCACCGCCCTGCCTGCACCTTGAGCTGCAGGTACCTATCCGTGATAAGGAGGGTGGTGGGCACGCACTGTACTGTTATTCAGTAGGGTGTACTGTTGTAACTAATGTCACCATTACTCCTGTACTGTTGACTGATTGGACACTTGACTGTCAGTAGCTCCCAAGCTTTACAGATTTGGCATTTTGTTGTTTTTAAATATGAAGGCTGAAGTTTTCAACGGCTAGTGTACTCCCTCCAATCAATAGAGACTCAGTCTTCTAAAGCGAGGACGTGGGAAACAGAATGGAAGCAGCTGGAAGTAAGCTGCTTTCCAGTCACCTTCCTATTATTATTTGAAGTTGGACTAAAGTTGAACTTTAAACACAGAACAAATTTGAGTTTATAACAGTTGAGTTGGGGAAAGGAAAGCAGGGATTGGCTTGCCTGGCCTTTTCCATTCCTCCCAACCCCTTAGGTGAAGTCTCACATGTCTAAGATCAGGTAATTGATTCTAGTTTGGCTTTGCCGGCCCTACTTTTTGTTGAAGGTACTAATCGGTATCTCTTGGTACAGTTCTGGAACATCGCAGGAGGGACAGGATGATCTCCACCTTGGTCTTGGTGACCTCCCCTCGGATGAGGAAGTCATCAATAGTTCTGATGAAGATGATGACAGCTCTGAGTCCAGTAAAGGAGAGCCAGACCCGCTGGAAGATAAACAGGTATATTTTGGCAATTAATTCCTTTTGCTCTTGCTTTTCTTGGCTGTCACTGTGCATGGGAATGCTGTTTACCATACCGATATAAAACAAGAGCAACAACCCTAGTGAGCTAGTCTGGAAATGCTTTTCAAGGGTAAGTCTTGTCTCTGCTGTAATATAGCACCTATAATGCTATATATCCAGCTGTGTATCACCTAAGGATTATTACTAATGTCCACTGGCTTTTTATTTGTGCATGATTATATGTGGGTATAAATGTACGCAGTTATGTCTGGGTCATGAATCTCTTAGGGATTGTTCTTGTCCTGCTGCTAATTCTTACATTTCTTTGTTGTGGGTTTTGCTTGTTTGTTTGTTTTGTTTTATGTGTATGACTGTTGTCTGCATGTATACCTTAGATCCCTTGGTACTTGAGTTCCAGACAGTTGTAAGCTGTTGTGTGGCTTCTGTGACTTGAACCTGGGATTTTTTGGAGACCAGCCAGTGCTCCTAAACACAGAGCCAACTCTATCTAGCACATTGTTTTTTGTTTTTGAGACAGTGTAACCTAGTCTGGCATTGAATCATAGCAATCCTTCTGCCTCAGCCCTGGTAGTGCTGAGATTATAGGCACGAGCTACCACAGCTAGGGGAATTCTTAAATTTCTTGAAAGAGGGGAATTGTATGCATTTGGGGCTTGATCACACCTTTAAATGTTTAAGTAGATTTATTGTGTGGGGGTGTGTGGGAGCACATTGGAGCAAGCATGCTTGTATGCCGTGGTACTTGTGTGGATGCCAGGAGTCAGCCCTCTCCTGCCCCGTGGTTGCAGGTTCAAACTCAGGTTTTCAGGCTTATAGCCATCTCACTGTCCTGATCTTGTCCTTTTAAGGACACAAGGATTGCTGTTTGTACTGGTTACTTCTCACGTTGCTGTGGCAACATACCTGATAAGAAACAAACTTGTGGGAGGAAGGGTTGTTTGGGCTCACAGTTCAAGGATACAGATCCTCGCTCGTGTCCTGGAAGTCATGGCAGATGGTGCACGAGGCACAGAGTGCCTAATGCCGGTTCCCAGCTTGCTTTCCCCTTGTATTCAGTCCAGGACTCCAGCCCATAGCATGGTGCCACCCACCTACAGTTAGGGTGGGTCATTTAACCCAGTGGAGGTCATCTTAGTTAGGGCTACTACTGCTGTGATGCAGCATTATGCCCGAAAGCAACTTGGGATGGAAAGACTTTGTTTCTTTACATATCCTGAATCACAGTTCAATGAGGAAAGCCAAGGCAGGAACTCAAAAAACCTGGAGACAGGAGCTGCAGGAGAGAGGATGGAGGAGGGCTGCTTACATACAGGCTGCTTTCTTACAGAACCCAGGACCACCAACCCAGGGATCGCACCACCCACAATGGCGTGGGTTCTCCCCCATCAATCGCTGATTAAGAAAATGCCATACAGGCTTGCCTACTGCCCATTTTTATGGAGGCATTTCTTCAGTTGAGGCACCTTCCTCTCAGATGACTCTAGCCTGTGTCAAGTTGACATAAAAGTAGCCAGCACAAGGGTAATCCTTTGTAGCTCTGCCCTTAAGCTTGTCCTCTGTGTTATTATAGATCCTGGCAAGTTGGCAATGAGTGTATTAACTGTCTCACTGCTACTAATGTAATCATTGTGTTAAAACAATCCAGTATGTGTTATGTGTGTATATATTCGCGCGTGTGTGTGTGTGTGTGTGTGTGTGTGTGTGTGTGTGTGTGTGAGAGAGAGAGAGAGAGAAAGGGAGAGAGAGAGAGACATGAAGATTGTCCATATTTTCATAAAGGTTTGGGATATGTGATAGGGAAATTAATTGTACTGTTTTAGTTTATTATAAGCATCTGTATGTTTCATTTGAAATAACATTTCTTTGAATAAAGATATTATGAAAGGGAGGAAATTAGCATAGCGGCAGTGTGCTATATGGGAGTGTTACAGGATGGAATTTTAAAGGACCCTCACAACGTAGCATGCCAGGGAGGAAACCCTTGTCACGAGTCCTTATCCTATTTTACTCATCCATTATGCCTCCTGCTTAACATATTGTTGCTCTGTTTAAATTTGCTTATCCCTTGTAATGAATGGCACAGCATGGTTATCTAAAATTGAGTCCCAGGGCTGGAAGTTGCCTCAGTAGCTCAGAGCCCTTGTAAAGATCCTGAATTCAATTCCCAGTACCCTCATAGTGGCTCCCAACTGCTGTAACTGCAGTTCCAAGGGATCTGATCCAATTCCAAGATCTTTTCTGATCTTGTCATATGGTGCACATACATACATGCAAGTAAAGACACACACACATAAAATAAGTAAAATAAAACAATTAGTTACCAGCTATGGAACTAATCACTTAATCTTTTTGGTTTAAAGAATGCCACTTTGTAAATGAAGACAAAATATTTGACATGTGAAAAAACTTAGAATATTATCCAGCATGGGGTTCGAGCTTGTTGATTTTGCTGTTTGCTGATGAGACTTAATTTCTGAACTGGGTGTAACAGCACACATTTGTGATTCTAGCAGTTGGGGGCTGAGGTAAGAGGATCGGCATTAGTTCTAGGCTACCTGGGGTTAAATAGGAAGTTCCAGATTGGCATTGGATATAGAACGAGACACTGTCTCAGACACACATGTACCCCACCCCCTACCTGACGGGGTTAAGTATCAGAGCAGGGTGTTGGAAGTAGGCGCTTGAACTTACTTAGGCCGGGATCTGTGAAGCTCCCGATAGCTGAGTGACGTACAGAAACACTTAGCGGCCAGAAGGGTTTGTTTGACTGGAAGGGCACTCACCCTGCCTGTGCCGCACTCACACCTTCCCACTCTGGTTTGCAAGCTTGCTTCCTGGGTTGCTGCTTCTTGATGAAGACCCTACAGTATGCCAGCGATGGATACCCCTCCCTCAGGTCCCAGGTCACATCAGTGTTTGCTCGACATTAGCAGTGACCTTGGCCCTTGCCTTTGTGGTGTGCCCATCTCAGTGGAGGAGGAAGAGGGACCAAACCCACAATCAGAAAGAGGCCCAGAGCGCTTGCAGGCTGCGAAGGGAACATAACAGTGATGTGCTGGAAGCTGCAGTGGCTGCTTTGGATGAAAGCCTCTGAGAAAGTGATATTTGACTAGAATTTAAATGGGCGCAAAGAGCCAAAGCCTGTGGAGAGCTTGAGAAGGAACATTCAAACAGTATTGTGTGAGAGCCATAATTAAGACCGAGCTTTGCCCTCTTCCTTTCCCTGTCTCATGCTGCTGTTCCGGCCTGTTCTTTTCCCCTTGAACCTTGTCCAGTTTCTCTCTTCATCGAAGTGCTAACCGCAGTTTTCTCCACACGGCTGGACACCGGACGGCTGGCTGCACCGTGTAAAGGAAGGCTCTGCCGTGTTCCATGATTCTTCCCAACATTCTGTTCTGTCGCTGCCTGCTTCACCCCTGATTTTGTGGTCAGTGGGGACTCCTCCGTGTAGTAGGCTTCTCTCTCTGACTTTCTTTTGGGACCCCAGCCTCAAAACAATGACATGGAGATGAGACTATTACTAATTATGAAAGCTTGGCCTTTAGCTTAGGCTTGGTCACAACTACCTCATAACTAGAGCAGTTTCTGTTCATCTACGTTCTGCCATGTGGCTCTTTTCCTCCCCTCCATTCTGTGTGTCCGGCTCCCTCTGTGTCCGGTTGGTGTCTCTGTGTGCTTAGATTCTAGCCCTGCCTTTCTCTGGCTGCCTGGGATTCCCCACCTCATCACTCCTGCCTGCCTATTGACTGCTCAGCTTTTCATTAAACCAGCCACATCGAGCATCTCCACCCGGTGTTCAAATATCCCTCAGCACCCGAGGTGCCCCCTCTGTCTGTGTGCCTCTTTCCCTTCCTGTCTTTATTTCAGTTTTGTGTCCTTTTGTGTCACATTACCATATGCCTGCTTGCTAAATCTTTTATCTTTTTCTAACACACGCGCGCGCGCTTGTGTGTGCGCGTGCGCACATGCGCTATCACACATTTGTTGAGCTCAGGACAGTTTGTGTGAGAAAGTTCTCTCCGCCCTTGTGTGGATTTTAGGGACTGGAATCAGCTCTTTAGGTTTACGTGACAAGTATCTTTACACGCTGAGGTATCCCCCCCCACACACACACACACTTCAGGGGGACTTCTTTTCAGTTAATTGTGGACATGTAATATTCTTTAGACCTTGTACCAGTAGCATCAATAATGTCTTCCTTTAGATTGTGCTCTCAGGGACTTACATTATGTCTCTTCATCTGGAGCAGCAGCAGAGACTATGTTAGTTCCCTTCTAGACAGCTGCCAACCTGCCTAACCACAGCCCAGTGAGGGTTTTTACGTAGTCTGCTTTCATAGTGGTTAGGAAAACACAATCTTTGGGGCCTTCCTTTACACGGTGCAGCCAGCCGTCCGGTGTCCAGTGCCGTGTGGAGAAAACTGCGGTTAGCACTTCAATGTAGAGAGAAACTGGGCAAGGTTCAAGGGGAAAAGAACAGGCCGGAACAGCAGCATGAGACAGGGAAAGGAAGAGGGCAAAGCTCGGTTTTAATCATGGCTCTCACACATACGGTTTCAAACTCTCAAGGTCTGTGATTTTGAACAACTTCCTTCCATTAAGCCCTTGTTTCCACCTCTGACAAACAAAAAGAAGTAGACCATAGGATTGGTGTTGCCCTTATTTCAAGGGTTGTTGTGATGGAATGGTAACACTGCTGTGAGCAATGTTCCTGTGGTGATACTGTGTTTATGATATAACGAATAAAGCTTGCTTGAAGATCAGAGTGCAGAGCTAGCCATAGAGACCGGGCGGCAGTGGCACACACCTTTAATCCCAGCAGCCACGCTAGTTAACCCTAGAGACCAGGCGACGGTGGTCAGGAGACAGAGGCAAACAGATCTCTGTTAGTTCAAGGCCACCCTGATCTACACAAAATGATCCAGACTAAAAGAGAAACAGAACTCACACAAAGGTGATCCTAGCCCTAGGGAGATGGAGATAGGAGTCATATGGTTGGACAGGGAGAGGATTATAAGGTGGGAGAAGACTAGAGAGATACAGTCTGGGCATTCTGAGGTTTGATGGAGAGCATTACAATCTGAGTCAGTCGGGAGCAATCTGAGGATCGCCGCTTCGGCGGCCTGAGCATTGGTAGAGGTGAGAGTTCTCACCTGGCTACTTGGCTTCTCTGATCTTCAGCTTTAATCCCAATGTCTGTCTCTGTCTCTGTCTCTGGGGTTTTATTATTTGTTCTATAATGTCTGACACAAAATGAATGCACAACAGATTTTTTTTTTAGTTTTTCCTGCTTATGCACAGCAAGGGAAATCTCAAACATCTCATAGCCAGCATTCTATGAGTTCGCCCATGAATATATACTGTCTAACGTCGTGTGCCTTGTCTTTGCCGAGTAAGGAAGTGGCATTCTTATATTCAGGATACTGTTGTGCTTCAGTGGGAAGACTGTGTTTCGGACTTAGCTCTGCTCTGCTGGATGACCCTGAACAAATAGTCACTTTCAGTCAGGTTTGTTGGCACATGCCTATAATCCCAGCACCGGGGAGGCAAAGACAGGAAGATTTACATGAGTTCAAAGCCAGCCTGGTCTACATAGTGAGTTCCAGACCAGCCAGGACAGTGTAACTGCACCTCTACTCAGAAAAGAACATCAAATGTATTTGTAAGAATGTGGAGGGTTTAAAGGGAGAAGAAGGACTTTGGGATATAGTTGCAGTTTTTCCAAAGTTTTACTATCGTCACTATGTGGCCCAGAAATGCTGTGTTTAATACCTACTTATCCAAGAGAAATGGAAATAAATGTCTACACAAAAGCTTGTGTTCATATCATCATTGTTTATAATTGAAAGGTCTCACCTGGGAGTTTAAGGGGCTGCTAAGATGATCATTGGGAGCAACTAGTTGCTTAGAAGAATTACTAATGGCAGCTAACAGCGTGGTTGGGGGCTCCGAGGAGAATTCATGCCCCGGTGACAGACAGTGTGTGGGGGCTGAGGAGAGATTAGGGCCCACCTGGGAAGTGGCCTGGGGATGGGAGTGGTTTCATAGCACTGGCCTGCAGCCAGGCTCTCTTAGTCCTGGGCAGGAGAAGGGGAGGGAATGGGGAACAGGCTGTGTGGCCATCAGTGCCCTCTTTGGTACAGACTCGCCCCCAGGGGAGATGCTCAGGCACCTGCAGGTCTGTTAGCTAGAGTGTCACCATGTCTTAATAGGGCATCTGTGAGTATCTGGGAGGGAGTTGGCTGCAGGAGTGGCCTGAGCAGCAGCTGGATTCACATGCACTACACTGTCATAGTAGTGACCAAAACAAGAAAATCCAAATGCTCATCAACTGAAAAGTGAAAAAATTCAGGGTTACCTCTCTACACAGTGAGGTAATGTTTGGCTATAAAAAGGAATGGAGAATGTCTAGTAATGGGCACAGAGCTTTTTGGGAGATAAAGAAGTATTCTAAATTTAGATTGTGGTGATGGCTGGACAGCCCTGAATTCACCAAGAGCCACTGAACTATTTAAAGAATAAAAACCACATTTTATGGCATATAAAAGCAGCCAGATGTCATGGTGTTTTGCCTTTATTCTCAGCACTTGGAAAGCAGAGGCAGGTAGAGCACTGTGAGTTCGAGGCCAGCCAGGACTGGAGAGTGAGAACAACACTGCCTGAAACAACACCACCAGCCAAAAGTCCCCAACGGCAACCCAGACTTCCCACCGGCTCTATCATACACACTGTCGTTGATTCATGTGAAATGCAGGGATTTTAGGAAGGGTGCACAACCTGCTTGAAAACCCCTGATTTGGAATTTGTAATTACAGTCCGTTTCTGCTAACAAATTGGCTGCTACATCAGTCACAGAAGCTAAATGATATCCATAGCACATGTTTGGAGGAGAGTAATAGGTCACGGAAATCTTTACTAATTCCCTTTGGAAATTCTTGTGTGTGTGTGTGTGTGTGTGTGTGTGTGTGTGTGTGTGTGTGTTGGGGCGAAGTGTTAAACAGGTATTCCTGTGTGTGCACGTACACGCTAGAGGTCAAGGGTTATTGTCGGGCGGCCTCCTCTGTTGTTTTCCACCTGATGTTTTCCCAAGGGGCTCTTCCTGAATCTGGAGCTCACCACTTCAGCAAGAGCAGTGGCTGCTGTCTTGTCCAGCTTTTTATGCTGGTACTGGGGATCTGAACTCAGATCCTTGCACTTGTGTGACAAGCACTTTATCCCCTGAGCCATCTCTCTAGCTCCCTGGAAGTTCTTTAGATTTTAGTTAATTATTCTTTCAGTTTAAATGCTTGTTTTAAAGAAATGTGTTGGGCATGGTGGCTCATACCCATTTCGCATTTGGAAGAAAGGGCAGGAGGATTCCTGCAAGTCTGAGGCCATATTGTTTTACATAGTATAAATCTCAAGCTAGCCAAGGCAATTTGGTAAAACTTAGTCTTGAAATAAACTAATTTAAAAAAGAAGTGAATTCATTTTATGTCTTTGTAGTTGGAAATTCATTCTGTAGCTTCTCTGAATATTTGTTTCTCTGTTCCTTTTCAAATCTTCTGAAAGTGGCTGTGATAGTTTCCTTGTGAAGAGAAGGGTGGGAGACTGGAAAGGACAGTGACCTGTAGGTAACATCACCATATCTCCTCATCTTTGCCACGAAAATGATAAAGAGCTGTGCCTTGGGCAGGGCTTCCTGTTAACATTCTTCTCTTGCAAGTAGTTCTCTTATGATAGGGAAGGCCCCTTAGGTAGTATTAAACTAACTGGGAAAATGTCATTGGACCTCACTGGTCCTGAGCAACTATGAAATGGAGAGAACTTACAAAGCTGGGTTGATCAGAGCATATCACTGGATTTCAGATCAAAGGTTCTGTTTGGAATTTGTGTGACTTATTTCATGACCCTTGACAACCTGTTTTCATTTGTCTGTGGCTAGTGTTTTGACTTCCATAGCAGTCCACTTTGCTTTGGGGAGATGTTGTTATTTAACAGGCAGTCTGCTTTGAAATGTGATATAGTTTCATTAGCTGAGAAGCCTGAGATGCCAAACACAGTCTCTTGAGGTCTCACAGGGTGTTTCCATCATTGTTTGGCTGGGTCCGAATCAGTGACTGTTCTTACAAGGTGGAGAGAATAGAGACCTTTTAATATTTGTTGTCTTCAACTTTTTCTACTTTTAAGTGACTACAACCCATTGATTTCTATCCTAGTAACATGGCTTTATTTAACTCTATAATTTTCCTAGTTTAAAGGAAAAGCAGAGGCCTGGAGGGATGGCTCAGCAGTTTGGAGCTGGTCCTGTTTGCTCCTCTGAAGTGAACAGTGGCAGATGCCTTTAATCCCGGTACTTGAAAGGCAGTAATCTGAATTAGAGGTTATTATGATCTATGTGGTGATTTCCAGGCCAACCAAGGCTATATAGTAAGACTGGGACTCAAAAAAATGAAACTAAGGGGCTGTAGAGACGGTGCTGTTTAAAAAAATGAAACTAAGGGGCTGTAGAGACGGCACCGTGGTTAACAGCACCTTATTTGTTCTTTCAGAGAACCCAGGTTTGGTCCCTAGCTCTTACATAGTGGCTCACAACCATCTATAACTGTATAGTCTTGGCTCTGACCTCTAAAGGTACAAGGTACACATACAGTGTATGTACATGCAAAATTCTCACACCCTCAAAATAGAGCTAAAAATAAAATAAATCATAGAGAAAGGCAAAATAGGTAACTGCAGACTCCTAGATTAAATTCCCTTATTTAGTTCAACCCACTATGTTTTATTGTATGTGCCACAGATTTTGAGTTTGCGGCATTTGTATTTAATGTCAGACAATTTGCTCTAGTCTTAGATCCTTTCTTCTTTTTTTTTTTTTTTATGGAACATTTCACGAATTTGCACGTCATCCTTGCACAGGGGCCATGCTAATCTTGCCTGTATTGTTCTAATTTTAATGTGTGTGCTGCTGAAGTGAGTACTGGTCACAGAAAGTGTCGGCCCCCTGTTCACATTCACTTGTTCATGAATTTTCATTGAACAGTGGATTAGGCTCTATGTTTTGTATTTAGAGGGATACAAAAGTAATTAGGTAGACTAGAGAGAATTAGAGATTTGAGCAGGTCATAATAACCCACTGGGTGGGTGTCTTATAAATAATATGTGAACAAGAGAGTAATCTTGTCCTTTGAAGGTAACAAAAGAGAGTATCAAGGCAGCCTTCATGAAGGGAAAACCTGTGACTGTCATCTTAAAGAATGAACTGGAACATGGCAGCCAGAAATCCCTGGAAGGAAAGATGGTCTTCAGAAGGGAATTCCCAAACGAAAGAAAGATGTATAGAAAGAGACAGAGAAGGGCAGAACTCATATGGAATTACAAGGTAGTTCCAGTTTGGCTGGAGGCCAGTAAGGGGTGTGGAGGAGAAAAAGCAGAACTAGTGGACACATTGTGAAATAGCTGGTCTTTCTGTTTACCTCCCACTGTTGAGTCAAGCCGGTCCTGTGCCACACGCTCCTGTGCTTGAGCTACTGTGCAGCCTCAGGCCCAAAGCAATTCAGAGGCCACTGACTGAAATCCCTGAAACCGTGGACCCAGTTGGGCCTCTTCCAAGTTGTTTATCTTGGGCATTTCCATGCAGTGATAGAAGAGTCTGTCACACATTAAGGAAAGGATCAATTAAGCATTAAGGAAACCCTCAGAAGGGTAGATTAGCAGGCAGCTCTGTCAAGACAGAGAAATTGAGGTCCCTGGCATCGATGCACGGGCATGTGCAGTGTGAAGAAGGAACTTCTCACTTCCTCTCCAGGTTGCCTGAGTCCAGTGAAGTGAGCCTAACCGGCACACCAACCAGAGAAAAAGCAGGCACACTTGTTAGCATGCGTATAGGAGCCACACAAAGAAAGGCCATACAGTTCATAGGGAAGTGGGGGGGGGGATGGGAGGGTGAGGGATGGGATGGTATGGGGCCTAGGATGGAGTGTGAAGGCTGGTTGTCTTGATGTGTAGATCAGGTCTCTCCCTGATGGCAGTCCTCAGCCGGGGGGGGGGGGGGGGGGGGGGGGGAAGGAGAGAGTTCTATTTAGCTCAGTAGGTTAAGACTTTCTCATAGTTTCTGTGAGTTAGCCTTCCCTGGTTAAGGGAGTTTGGGGAAGGAAATGCAAGACAATTGCACTTATTTTGGATGGCCTTCCTTGAGTTAGATGAACAGATCTCATAGAGAGCCTCCTCCATGCTGGAAACCACGGACAGTCGGGGAGCCTTAAAGCCTAAGGCAGCATGCGTGGTTCTGTGCTCCTGTGGTCAGCCAGTCACAGCATCATTCTCGAAGGTATTGTTTGAATGTTTACAGCGACTGGAGGGCATCAAAGGCATTTTCCTGTGTGAAGATTCCCTGACTGTGCATTCTGCCCTAGTGTGGTCTTCTCAGATGCGAAGCAGGCTCAGAGTTGTGGTCCTTTGTGGTTTTATTCCCATTGTTCACTTCTTGAAGATTGTGGCCATTTCTTTTTCATTTTTTCTAGTTATGCAAAATTATGGGTTTCAATACATTTACACACACATACACGTTTGTACTCTGCTTATATTTGCCTGCCCTTTCCTGGGCTTTTTTTTTTTTTTTTTAATCCCTTCTTCAAATGCTCACACTCTATCCCAGCTGTATGGTTCTAAAGTTTTGAAATAGTTACCTGGGAACCTGAACTGTAAGATGTGCTTCTGATTCTGGTGATCAATAAGGTCAAACGCAGCCTCAGAACAGTGAAATGGCTGCAGCACAGCTATTCTTACCCTGATTTTGCTGTAAAATGTCAGCAAGGTCAGATAGTAGCTTCCCGGTTTAGGAAGATGGCTTGAAGGTGCCACTGACCCCTTCCTCGTGGAAAAAAGCTCAGGACAACAAGGACAACAGCTATGGGCTGGTGTGGGAACAGGTGCTTGCCATCAAGCTGCCAGACTCCATGACCTGAAGTTAATCCATAAGACCCATATGGTGGATGGAGAGAACCGACTCCTGCTAGCTGCCCTCTGACCTTCATGTTCTCTCTCTCTTACACACACACACACACACACACACACACACACACGAGAGAGAGAGAGAGAGAGAGAGAGAGAGAGAGAGAGTGTGTAAATTTTGTTTCTCATGATATGAGGCAGCTTTAGAAACCCCAGCCAAAACATGTAAGGGCTACCATGTCTACCTGCAGTGTATACAAGGCCCAGCATCTCATTTGCCAACACCTACCTGATTTTATATTTCAAGACAATGTCTTACTAGATAGTCCAGGATGGCTTACAGTTCAAGATCGCTCTGCCTCGGCTTCCTGAGTTCTGCTGCACTTTGTTTGTTTGCTCTGGGACAGGGTCTCATTGTGTACCCTGGCAGGCCTCTATTCCCTGACCCTCCTGCCGTACAAGTGTGCCACTGTGCCTGCCTTGACCGATGTATTTAATTATAGCCATTCTGTAGGCATGAGGTCTCATCTTACTGTAGTTTTAACATAACCATGTCAAAACATTTTCATGCGTTTGCTGGCTCACATCTGTTCTCATTTCTGAGTTTGAGTTAGCAGAAGTTTCTATTTTATGTGTATTTCTGTACACCACATACATGCCTGGAACCTGAAGAGGTCATCAGGTCGCTTGGAAATATAGTTAGGGATGGTTCTAACACAATGTGTAGGCGCTGGGAACTGAACCCATGCCTTCGGTAAGAGTAACAAGTGCTCATTAACTGATAAGTGTGTGTGCGCGTGCGCACACGCGTGTGAGAGTGGATTCTGGATACTAGTCCTTTTCCAGAGTTACCATGGGTAAACAAGTTTTCCAGTCTGTGTTTTTGTCATTTGCTGTAGTAGAAGCATGCTGCCTGCCTAGGGATGGTGTATCTTCACTGTTGTGGAGGGTCCCCCTCTGCACAGCTCTGGCTGATCCAGGCTCAGTGGAGCAAGGCTCTGAGCAGGGTAGATCACCCGTGCGGGGACAGTACTAAGAGGAGGAAAGGAAATAAAAGGCCAATGCCAAAGCAGTTACGCCACAAAAGAGACGTTTATTTTATATGAGGGTTTTTGCTTGATGCCTGGGAAACCAGCAAGGACACTGGGTCTCCTGGAAATAGTCTTGTGTAAGTGGGCTGCCATGTGGATACTGGGAACTAAACCTATTCTGTGCAAGAACAGCAAGCGTTGTTTGTTCGTTTGTCCGTCAGACTGGGTCTTTCTATGTAGCCTTGGCTGTCCTGGAACTCTTCATGTAGACTAGGCTGTGCCTCACAGAGATCTGCCCATCTCTGCCTCCTGCCTGCTGGGATTAGAGGCATGTGCCACTGTGATACCTGGCCAGCGAGTGCTTTTTCTGCCGAACCATCCCTCTAGTCCACACTTTCTTGATTTTTGGGTTTGCATATGTGGGTGGGAGCATTGCTGGGAATCAAATGTAGGGCTCAAACTTCCTGTGTGTCACTGAACTGTACTCCTAGCTTTTTAATGGATTTCTAATTTTAAAAATATCTACTGTACTTCATTAGCATTAGCCTTATAGTTACAGATGATAAGGAGGAGTGTATAAAGTTATTAGGGAAACATTGATTTGTTAAGTATTTAGAATACCGGTCATCCAAGGGTACATGTGTGCACTCCCCTGCCATTAGTACATGGCTGAGATTGTGCGTTCTGAGAAATGTTAGTCATGTCTCTATTCTTTGTTTAAGAGGTGAGTGGTTGGAGTTGAGAACAAAACTTATGCAACTCATTAGTCATAATCATTCATGAACCCACTTTAGAAAAGTGGATGTTAACGGGGACAGAAGTCAAATCCCTTTAGCAATGGAATTTGAGAGCAGGAGAGCAGGAGAATGGTAAAACATACTAGGCTAATAGACTGCATTTTTATGTACTACAGATTAGTAGTCAGTTGTCCTAGTTTGGTTTCTGTTGCTGTGATGAGTAGCATAACCCAAAGCAACATGGGAAAGGAAAGGGTTTATTTGCCTTACAGGATGCTGTCCGTCACTGAGGGAAGGCAAAGCTCTGATACTCGGTAGGACCCTGGAGGCAGGAGCTAAAGCAGACCACAAGGCAATGCTACTTACTGGCTGGGTTCCAGGCTCACATCGGGCAGTCTGTCTTCTAATGCTCAGGGTTACCCATCCAAGGAGAGGACTGCCCACAGTGGGCTGAGCAGGAAATGCCCCCTAGGCATTATCACAGACTGAGAGGCAATTCCCTCTTCTCAAGTATTTCGCCAGGCAAACTTGGCCATCATATTTTCCATTTAAATATTCTCTTCATAAGTAGTTGAGTTACAGCCTTCTCTGAATATTTTTGGCAGAACAGTCTGTGTCAGTAGAAGTGTTTCTTGGTATTGCATGCAAACTTTTCTGTAAGAAAAGAAGGAAACAAATACAGGAAAACTGCAAGATTAGTGCTTACTGTCACAGCCATCTGTAACCCCAGCACTCAGGAAGTAAAGGTAAGAGGGTCAGGAGTTTAAGTCCAGTTGTTGCCGTACAACAACTTTGAGTCCGAGCCAATTAATTACATTGGGTGTGTGTTTAGCAATGAATGTTGACAAGATTCATCAGGGTTACTACCAGAAGTTGAAAGTGATGCACTATTTAATACAATAATTTCTAATTTTATACCCTGCCAAGTCAGGGTAAGACAGCCTTTCTACCTCCCTGCTGTTGTGGTCTGTCAGGTACTCTAGGCCTTAGTCAAAACTGGCTGTACCAACGTTGCTGTGAGACCTTGGGTGACTGTCCAGGTAGCATGCTGTTTCTGTCCTTGCTGTACCTTTTGGAAGTTGCCCATTCGCACTTCCTGCCTACCCTAGTATTATTATTTTCCTTCTCAGGTCTTTGATGAGGTTGAAGATTAAACTATCACAACTATTATTTTGTCTTCCTAGTTAGATATATTAGGTACTAGACTTGAGCTTTCCAGTTTAGGACAACTCTATTGTAAACCCCGTTTTGACTTCACCCTAGGACTAGGTAGTTAGGTCTTAAGTTTGTATGTTCTCAATTTTCCTTTTCTTAGAACACACTTGTTATTATTCACTATTTTGTATGTAGTTTGTGTATCTAGCCCAAATCTTTTCTTTAGACTAAAAGGAGAATTATAGTGAGATATTCACCTTGTCCGCACTTGTGGCATAGACCACGCCCCTTGGGGGTGAAGACAGGGCCAGATGTGACCTGGGGGAACTAGGGCTGAGGAGGGGGCTCGGAGAGCTCTCTCTTGCTTGTAGCACAGGGACAGGAGCACATCGGGAGGCATCCTTGGGACCAGGAACCTGCTAGTGTTCATCTATGTTGTGAGTGAATAAACATCTATTCGGCCTGTTTGTTTCTCCTGATCCTTATTAAACATCAAAGTGTGTGTGTGTGTGTGTGTGTGTGTGTGTGTGTGTGTGTGTGTGTGTGTGTACATGTGTGCATTTGTCTATGGAGACCCAAGATGTCAGATGTCTTTTTTAATTGTCCTTCACTTATCTGGGGGAATGGTCTTTCACTGAATCTGCTTTGTGCTAAGTATTATAGCTAGACAGGTTTGATGGAGCCATCTCCCTGCCCTGTGATAAATGACACAGTACTTTTTAGGTTAATAGTTGGAGCTCTGGACTTTCTTTCTGGTTCACTCCATTGTCAGGTGTATTGCTGAGGATCAAGTCCAGGACCGCAATCGTGCTAGGTGAGCACTCTTTTACTGAGCACAAGCCCCACCCCCGACTCCTAATAATCAGCTTTAAATCTCTTCAGTCAGTCTTCTGCTCTTAGTGTATATGTTTTCTATATTCATCGCTATGGCTACAACTACTGTTTATGACATATGGTCTCAAAAGCAATTTTTTGATGAATATAAAAATATTCCCCCTCCCTGCATTTCTAACTTACATGAACACAGACATAACTATAATTCAAAAAAAGAAATTTAGCCAGGCATTTGTGGCACGTGCCTTTAATCCCAGAACTCAGGAGGCAGAGGCAGGAGGATCTCTGTAAGTTCAAGGCCAGCCTAGTCTACAGAGCTAGTTCCAGGATGGGTTCCAAAGCTACACAGAGAAACCCTATCTTGAAAAACCCATAAGGAAGGAAGGGAGCAAGAAGGAAGAAGGAAGGAAGGAGGAAGAAAGAAATTTCCAGGAACTGGAGAGGTGGCTCAGTGGTTAAGAGTGCTTACTGCTCTTGTAGAGAACACTGGTTCGGTTCCGAGTATCACATGGCAGCTCACAACTATTTCTTGGCAGTTCCAGGGCATCCATTGTCATTTTATGCCTTCCAGTGGTTCCTACATGTGATTGGTGTACACATACTCATACATAACACATTAAAATAAGTAAGTAAGTAAATGAATATATGCCCAGATTCTGGGGAGCTGAGTATGTAAACCCCTGATAGAACTCTTACCTAGCAGGTGTAGTGCTTCTTAGATCAGTCCTTAGTATTCTAACAAACAAACAGAATTCAGAAACTAAACCCATTGAAGACTATTTAGAACAAAATCTAAACGTAGTGAGGTGTGATTGTGCCTATAATCCCCAACCCCAGGAGGAGGAGATTGGAATATAAACATAAATCTAAACATACTGAGGTGTGATTGCGCCTGTAATCCCTGACCCCGGGAGGCTGAGATAGGAAGACGGTGGGTCGAGGCCAGCCTGGGCTATAGCAAAACCCTATCTCAAACTGAAGCAAAACAAATTGAAATGAAAATATAAGAATGATTACTCAGTTTGCTCACGGGGCATCACCTATGCTTGGCTAAGTAAATAAAGGGACTCTAACGTATGTACAGAATACAAGCAGTCACACATTTTGAATGTATTTTCCCAGAAAGTTGACTCATTTTAAAACTGCATTTATTTTCTATCTTTGTTTTGACATGGCGCCATGTGAAAATGAATTCAAGAACTAAGAAAGGGCTTGGGTGTGGTTTAGTGGTAGAGCTCTTGCCTAGCATGCTGAAGCGCCCCCCCCCCACCTTTGGATACCTAACAGCACAAAAATAGTAAATAATATGAAGAACTAAGACAACCCTTTGAACTGTCACAGTGCTGTGTGGGTCTGCTGGGATGGCACACCAGTTCAGCATAGAGAAGGCTACTTCTGAGAGCCACTGCTTTAACACATCTCTCCCACCCCGTGGCATTCTGTTAATGAATGACTAGTGCGTTGCCATGGGGATGGTTTATGCATTTCCTTGCCCAGTAGTTCTTGAGGCAGCACAAAATAACTGTCTTGGTGCTGCCAGTGCTGGAAAGAATGCAAACAAGAATGGGGAAATAAAAAAACCAATCTTTACAAAAACGGAGCTGATGTTTTCCTACAGATGCATCAGAGCTTTTCCCTTTTCATAGTAGCAGAATTTGCTCTTTAATTTTAATGTGTGTGTGTGTGTGTGTGTGTGTGTGTGTGTGTGTGTTGATGTGCACATATGTATTGCTCTGCTGAGGGGTTGAGGCTGTGTGTATGCCCACTAAACTTGTACTGCTGTTACATCCCCAGCCTGGTTCCAGCTGTCATTTCACCTTAAGTCAATGTTTTAATTGCTTGTTCTTTATTTACTGTTTATTCCTCTTCACTAAGGAATGGTGTTTTCAGATCTTTCTGAAAATGGAAAGGGAAATGTCTTCTGTCTCCTGCAAACAACAACAAACTTACACGTCAGCATCTTTTTCTCCCAGATGTACAGTTTGTGTCCTCACTGTGGTATTTAATATTCACACCAAGAAGTGATTAAATGATGTCCTTGGGATGATAAAGAGCCCCGATTAACTGTACCTTCAGAATTAGAGTGATTTCACTTATACAGCCCATCAATAGTTCTTCATTACACATCTTCAGTGTTATCTGAAAGTGCTTTCATTTATTTATTCTTTCATTCAGTCTTGTAGTGTCTGTCTCAAGTCGCCTGTGTGTTGGGATTACTTATATACACTGCCTCATTGGGCTTTGATACTCATAGCTGTTTCCCTTGCAAGCTATGACATTTCCATGTTTAACCTTTGATGCTGTTCAGTTGATTGATGGTGGGTTGGTGGGTTGGTTGGTTGGTTGGATTAAGGGGGTCTCAATATATATCCCTGGCTGGCCTGTAACTCACTATGTAGACTTGGCTGACCTTAGAGCTATATCTATCTCTAAGTACTAAGATTTAAAAGTGTGTGTCCCCCAACCCCATTCCTGATTTCTCTCAGCTACTTCTGTATCATGATTTATCATCTTATTTAATTCCCCACGTTTGCCTTTGAGGTATTATGTAGTATGGATTGTGTGCTCATAGAAAACATAGGACCAGGGCTGAAATGCATGTCTAACCAGCTTTTAGCTGATCCCATATTTTATGAATTGATGCTTTCTCAATGCACTCTTTATCTTCAGGATGAAGATACTGGAATGAAAAGCAAAGTTCATCATATTGCCAAGGAGATCATGAGCTCAGAGAAAGTGTAGGTATCAAGTTAGCAGTTCAGAGACTGTTCTTCCCACCTGGCTTATTAAAACATTTTTATTGCTTTTTTTTTTTTTTTTTTACAGGTTTGTGGATGTGTTAAAACTTTTACATATTGTAAGTATCTACTAATATTTTTTTCAAATCTAAATTATCCCCAGACCTGTCCTTTTCCTACCCTAAAGATTCTTAGCACAGCTAACTAGTAAACTATGTCCATGTGTTCTCTAATCCTTTGTGGTAGGCGGAGTTTCTCTGTGTCTTGGCTGGCATTTTCCAAATAACCAACTCAGAGTCTTAATATTAATTGTAAATGCCTGGCCAACAGCTCAGGCTTATTAGTAACTAGCTCTTACAACTTAAATCTACCCATTTCAATTAGTCTATGTATTACCATGTGGCTCATGGCTTTACCTGGCCTCCAGCACGGCTTGTTCTCTCTGAGTCTCCTGGCGACTCCTCAGACTCTGCCCTTCTTCCTCCCAGCATCCTGAGTTGGTTGTCTCCCTATGTTTCCTCCCTGGCGACCAGCCATTTTGGTTTTTAGTAAACCACTTGGAGTGGCAAATGTTTACAGTGTACAAAAGGATTATTCCACAGCACTTGATTATATTTTAAATTTATTATAAACCTTTATATATTTACATATTTGTGAATTCTGTATATAATAGACATTTTACAAGTTGTGTCTTATTTACATCCTGATAATACCTAGATGATTTCTGAAAATATGTCTTCAGCAATTTCCATCTATTTATAATAAATGAGCCGTGGCAGCTGCTTCCTCCTTCTCCTCTTCCTCCTTCTCCTAGTTTCCCTCCCCCCTCTCTCTTTTTCACCCAGTCTACACCCTAGCACCCATAATGATGATACATCTTTTGGGGGAATTTCTTCTCTAAATAGTTCAGGAAGCACAGACACTTAAGACAGCTATTTTTATCGCTAACTTTTGAAATAATTGTCAGCTTGAACGGACCTGTTAGGAAGCAACTGTATGTTTCTGGCCACACACCTCCTCTTGCAGTTTTTTGTCCTTGCAAGTTTTTACAAGATCCATGTTCACTGGTAGTTAAAGTGTGTTTAGTTTTGGTTATATTTTGGCAGTATATCCCAAACAGCCCTCACATGTGTGCCACTAAGTGCTCAAGTCCAAACCTTCCCTGGAAAATTTGATAGTCTCTGCCTGCCTCCCTCTCTTCCTGTCTCTGTCTCTCCCACCCCTCCTCCTATCCCATCCCCCGTTTTCCCTCTAGCCCTCTCCTTCTCTCATTTTACCCTCTTTATCCATCTCTGTCCTTCTCCCCCCTTCTCCTTTAAAATAGAGTCTCACTTTAGTCCATCTCTGTCTACCTCAAAGGTGTAGTGACCCTCCTGCCTCAGCCTCCAGACTGCCACCAGGCCGGATGACAGTCTGACAGAATAATTCTAGTTTCATTCTGTTGTTTGGTAAAAACCCTGTGACCGAATGTCGAGGGAAGGGTTTCTTTGGCTCACACTTCCAGTTAGAAATCCATCATTGAGGGAAGAAGTCAGGGCAGGGTCTCCAGGCAGGACCCATGGAGGAACATGACTTACTTTCTCACAACCTAGCTCGTGTTCAGCTAGCTTTCTTCTATTACTACTACTAAGGGTTGGTGCTGCCCTTAGTAGGCTGTGCCCTCTTCCGTCAATCATGAGTCAAGACATGGCCACAGGCCAACTGTTCAGGTAGTTCCTTATGAAGGTTTCTTTGTCCCAGGTGACTCAGGATTGTATGAAGTTGACAACAAAACTAATCAGCGCATAGACTTTCAATAAACCCAGGAAACTAGACCCAAGACGCCCTGCACATACTGATATCTAATGTCAAATAGAACACGGGGTTCTTGGGTTTTTGTTGTTGTTGTTGTTAGTTTTTTCAAGACAGAGTTTCTCTGTGTAGCATTGGCTGTTCTGGAACTTGCTCTGTAGACCAGGCTGGCCTCGAACTCAGATCCACCTGCCACTGCCTCCTGAGTGCTGGGATTAAAGTGTGCACTACCAACCACCCAGCTTCATTTATTTTTCTGAGTACGTCATAAAATGAGTAGATTTCCCCAGCTCTCATCCTTTTTCCCGTCTTAAAATCATCATTCTGTCCTGAGTCACTGTCTCACGAGTCGTGGACTTTTAAATTATCAGTTGCTTTGTCTTCTCTTCAGTCCCTGTTAACGTAGCTACTACCTCCATCGCTGAACAGTTGTATTCATATTAAGACCCATATACATGAAGTTCACTGTTAAGAGCATATTTGTCTTGCTTCTGTCTTCCCTGCCTTGGTTTGGCATCTCCTTCTCTCTGTGGCTGTGTTTCAGATCTTTGCTTCTCAGCTTCCAAAGACTTGTAGATTAACAGATGTTCCTGTGATTATTTAAATTAGCTTTTTTGTTTGTTTGTTTTTGTTTTAGTTTGAGACAGGGTTTCTCATTGTAGCAGCCCTAGCTATCCTGGAACTCACTCTGTAGACCATGCTGGTCTCGGACTCACAGAGATCCCCCTGCCTCTGCCTCCCGAGTGCTGGGATTAAAGGTGTGTGCCACTACCGCCCTGCTCAATTACTAAATCTTTTTAAGTAAATGGCCTTTTAATGAGTGTTCTTAATGCCCTTTAGTGTATTATACAACTATGTTATACAAGTTATTTAATTTTGGCCTAAAATAGTTTTTTTTCCTGTTGTTTATTTTAAATGAAGAAAGTAGCCAACTATTAAATGTCAAAGCCAGACTTCGAAGTCTGGTCTATGTGAGTTCATGGTGTAAAACTGTGAAATGCTTGCTTGCGATCCTAACTGTTGCTATTTATAGTGTATCTGTAGGATGTAGTATATCCTTGGGCATATTTGTTGCTTACACAATACTTTAAAGCTGCCTAGGAAACCAGAGAAACTCTAGTCTTTCATCTTATAAAGATAAAATAGAAGCTGGAACTTGTTACTTAGATTTCTTATGAACATTGCACATTAATGTTATTAAAGAGGGTTGGAAACATGCCATAAACAGTTGGTTTCAGTTATGTTTTGCATTGAATGCATTGATGATTATGAACAACCTGACTTGTGCATACAGAAAAGGAGGGATGATTTCACCCAGAAAAATATTTTCATTTTAAAAACAAAGTCAGCAAAGCATGACAGCACACCCCCATAATCCCAGCTCGGGGGAGGCTGAGGCATGCAGATCATGAGTTTAAGACCATTGTGGGTTATAGAACAAGTCTGCCTGAGCAAACAAGACAAAAGCAAAGCCACATTGTTTTGAGGTGGGGACTTCCCCCCTTTATTTTCACTTCACACTTTCCCTTTTATTTTTGCATATGCATTATAAGCCTTTGACCACTGCAGCTGCTTTGCTTTTAAGTGATTTTTACTTACTGTGAGCTCCCTGTCTGTTCCTGTGTCCATGTGTTCCCTGTAATTCACAGGCCCACATTAAACAATGCCTCAAGGTCAAGCCTGCTGCTTGGGACAGCTGGTAATGAAGTCAAACACTCCTCTCTGGTTCTGGAGGCCCTGCCTCTGTAGACATGGCCATCTGCTCAGTGCTTCGGTGCCTCAGATGTTCAGACTAGATCTTATTTGCATCGATTTTTGCTCAGGTTGTCCCTGGGTGATCAGAGTTGGCAGAGTGGGCATGCTCATATTGTAAAGAGTTGGAGTTATTCTGGTTTTTCTCTGTGGTCTGTTGGGGGAAATGTTAAGACTAACACTGTGATACACTTTAGTTAGATCTCTAAAACGTCCAGTTTGAATGTGCATTTAGTGAATGTTATAGGTGATTTGACTTTGGTAGGTTTTAACTAGAATTGGTGTTGCGTGTAGATGACGTTAGTACTGTCTAACCCTTTATACCACCTCCCCTTCTCCCTTATTCAGTTACGCAGTCTCTGTCTCCCACCCTACTCTCCTTTCCACTGCTGGTTTTCAAACCCAAGGGCCTCACGGGATCTGTGCTAATGCTCTTCCACTGAGCTACACAGCCAGGTTTGTTAGCCAGGAGCCAGGGTGCAGAAACAAGCCCTGGGTCTCCTTGCTCACCGGCATCTGCATCTGTGTAGTTAACAGAGTTTTGGTGAATTTAGATGCTTCCACCCAAAATAGTTTTGTGGTTCTTAAAGATCATCACACTTTCCCAAATTATCCTGGCTTTTGGGATTTAGGAAAATAACTGGGCATATGTTATAATCATCTTTTTTTTGTTTAATTTTAAAAAAGAAAAACAAACGGACAAACAAACACGTCGTGACTTCCCTCCATTGGTACCACTTTGGCCGTGGCTGAGTTTTGTGAGTGGGTGAGAAGTTTAAAGTTATCTGGAGTTCCTGTGGAACTGGTTGCTTCTCGCTCTGGGATCTGAGTGCATCGCTTTTGGGGAGGGAGCCAAAAAAGTAGAAGGAATACAGTTGAGGTTGCCCTGCCCTGTGGGGGCTGTTTTGTTGGCTGTTAAGTTACCTGCTGGGGCTCTGGCATCTTGTCTTAGCCTGGAGCTAGGGATGCCCTTTTTGGAGTTGACTGTTGGGGATTTAACCTAGAATTTTCTGTGTTAAGCACATGTTGTACACTAAGCTGTGCTCCTAGCTGGGAACAATCTGTGTTCAAAAGGCTACCAAGAGACCTGTGATAACCCCAGGTGAAAATAAAATTATCCAGTGACATTTAAAACACATTTTGTTTTGTTACTCGAGTCAGGGTCTTTCTGTAATGTAGCTCTGGCTATCATGGCGTTCACTATGTAGACCAGGATCGTCTCAACCTCAGAGATCCACCTGCCTCTACCTCTCCAGTGCTGGGGTCAAAGAGAGGCTTGCACCACCTTTAATTATTACTACTTTTTTTTTTTTTTTTTGCATACAGTTAAGACAGACTTTGTCCCATACCAGTGCTGTTGAAGGGATTTTGCAGTGGCAAAGAGTTGGAGTTAACTCCAAAAGCAGAATTCATAGCCAAGGAGCAAAGTGAGATTCAGTGGAGAGAAGATTCCCAAGAAGACAAGAAGGAGCAAGTGGGGGACGGGTGGTCTGTACGGCTTGGGAGGTGGTGAGGAACAGGGCCGGCCCCTGGAGGTGGTGACAGGTTCTTGTAAAGCTAGGTTGTGTAAAGAGCTGCTTGAGGGACCCTGGCCACCTTGGTAAAGCAGAGAACCGCCGCCTAAGCCTGTTTAGAACATAAAACTGTGGGTCTTAGAGACTCAAACCCTTGGCGTTCCTATAGTCCTCATTAACTGTTGTTCTTTTTTGAGACAGGGTCTTGCTATGTAACTCCATGTAGCCTGACACACAGAATTCCTCCTGCCTTGACCATTCCCCATCCCCCACCCCCAGTGCTGGGTTTACACAGGTGCTTATGCCGCCACACCTGGTTTTCTTTGGCTCTCTTTTAAGTACAAAATGAACTTTCTATAATCTTCAAAGCAGTATCATTGGGTTGCAGTTCATCCAAAGCTGTCCCAAGCATCAAGTACTCTTAAAAAAAAAAACAAGCCTTGCCAGGTGTGTGGCCAGGGCCTGCAGGTCATTGATCAGCCCCCTTTGGCTGGTTTTTGTTAAATGTATCTTAAATAAACAAGTTTCCCTTTTGGCAGAGATGGAAGACACAATGCAAAGTCTGGCAGAAACTGTGTCAGTCTGGCTCCTAAGTTACTTAGCAGCTGTCATCCACCTTCACTGGCATGGTGAGGAAATACCTTCCAGTTGGAAAACAAAAGTTACTCTGCTGCCAAGGGACCAGGATAGTCACCACTTAATTTTGCAACAAGAAAGGAGCAGGCTTATTGTTGGCTGAGCAGGAACCCTTGTGTCGGAATTGTTTTAATCACTAAACTGGCAGAAGAGCTTGTAGCTGCTTACCTGCTGAGCTTTGTACAAACTTACAGTCTAGGGTGTGACTCATGAATATTCACAGTCTGAGGTGTGACTCATGAATATTTTCAGTCTGGCATGTGATTTTTTTTTTTTTTTTTTTTTTGTTAATCAGCTTTAATGAAACATTTGTAATTGTATTAAAACAGGAAATAATAGTATAAGTATTTACATAAACTAGTGGATTGCAGGTTTATTTATTTATTTTGTGTGTGTATGTGTGTGATTCCCCCTTTATTAAAATTTAAATTAGAAGCAATCTTGTTTTATATATCAACCTCAGTTCCCTCTCCCTCCCACCCTCCCCTGCCCCCCACCAACTCCCCATCCCATCCCCATTTTTGCTCCCAAAGAAGGGTGAGGCCTTCCACGGGGGATCATCAGTCTGCCAGGATGTGATTCTTAAATATGTCCCATTGAGTTCCTTCATAGGAGACAAGCTAATGGCTTCCAGAAGTGCTAAGTAGCTGCATCTTCTCCTTGCAAATGCCAGGGCTGATTGAGGCAAGCTGTCAGGGATGGGATCTGGCTATCAGTTTGATTTCTGGAGGGTATGCTTGTGTGGTTTTCTAAATTGGAGCATTTACAAGCTAAATTCTTGTTTTATATTCTACTAATTAGTTATAGGAGTTGGTTCTTTAGTTGCTAGTGTAGGTAAGGTATGTGACTACTGGGGCAACTGGGAAAAAAAAAAAAAAAAAAGATCCCAGGATCTGCCTCCAGAAAGTTTTTAGCATTTGTTAAGAAAGTAAGGTGGCTGGGCCTGCAGCTGTGTTGTAGATGTCTTGCCTAGCCTTCAGGGAGCCCTGGGATCAGTCCTTAGCACCTCATAAACTGGGTGTGGTGCTACAGGCCTGTTATTCCAGCACTTGGGAGGCAGAGGCAGGTGGATCAAAAGTTCAAAGCAATCCTTGGCTACTTAGCAACTTTGAGGCCAAACTGGCAAGACTGTAATCCCAGTCATCCAGGAGGACTGTGAATTCCCGAGGCCAGCCTGGTCTCACAAGACTGTCTCAAAAGAAAGGGACCTTTGAAGAGAGCTGCTAGTGTATAGCTTAATGGTAGATCTGCGCCTATATTCGGAAGCCTGGGGACCTAATTCCCAGCTCTGCAAAGAAAGTGAACTGTACTTTTGGGAAGGAAACCTTTCTGTTCTCCTGGGGTACATGTGCAGATTTTTGAGCTTGGGGTTTGTTTTTAATCCCCCCACCCCTACCCCCATCAAGAAGCAAGAAATACTCTTGATTAACTTGTATTCTGGGGCCAAGTGTTGAAGGAATCAACAGAGGAAATGCTGGCCCTTTCAGTTTGATTTGCCTAGTAAATCCATGAAGGGGAAACGGTTAACAAGTAAAGAGAAAAGTCTGTGAGCTTCTTCGGGTTTTGCTTTAGGATTTGTAATCAAGCTGTTAGGAGAAGGAACAGACTTCTCTCCCTCTTCTGGAGTCTGGGACACTGGAAGATTCCACTATTGTTTAACTTAGATCTTGAGGCCCACCCTCAGAAGACAATGAAGTCTAGGCAAATACTTATCTCCTCCCCCACCCTTTCCTCTTCTGTAATAATAGGGTGTGGTGGTGGTGGTGACCTATGTTAGAACACAGCACTGGTAGAGAGGACAGAAGATGAATATGCCTATGCCGTGTATTTTTAAAGTGTAATTGGTGAGCTTATTGGGAGCTTGGCTCAAGGGAGAGGAATGTTAAGACCTAGTGTGTTGTGTTGACTCTGTACCAAATGTATTGTAGAAATTTTCATGTGCACCACCCAGTTAGATTTTCTTACTAGTACTGTACTAATAATACTAATTATGTTATAATCGCAGCTGTTTAACAAAGATGCCAAGGCTAGCCCAAGGAAACATAGAAGCCAGAAGCAATGGCTTGGGTCTAGAATCCTGATACACACACACACACACACACACACACACACACACACACACAAGCCTTACTGAGTCTACCTGGTATTGCACATATGCACACCTGTTTAGAACTGGCCTCTTGGGATTGTGTAACCTATAAGGGTTATTACCTGGAGAAAGCAGATTCTTCCCTTTGAGCGGCCATTGCTTGCTTGTAGTTCTTCATCTGGGTGTGGGGCCTTGTGAGAGCTCCCCCTCCCTGTTGGCATATCATTTCACATCGTTATACAATCCTTATATAGGCAACATGTTGTGATTTCATGATTCCCTGTCATGGCTAGAAGATGCTACCTCAAAACAGGAATCTTGGTCTTCTGGCATTTGCAATCTTTTCCCGAGCCTTAAGTATAAGGGTTAGGGTATGATTTCTCTCATATTGAACAGGCCTTAAATCCAGGGAGGCAGCTGTTGGTTACCCCAAGACATAAAGGCCACTACTGCATCATTAGGGGTGTCTTGCCTAGCCTGTCATCGTTGCAGTTTGTGGGCATTACCTCTGGATAAAACTCTTGATTGTCTTTCTCCCTTGGAAGTTTGCATAGTACTTTCAGATGGTATGAATGCTAGGAGTCTGCAAGGTCAATTCTGGCTTGATTCCTGCAACTTCTGTGTCCAAAGTATTTGGTGTCTTCAGCAGTAGGCTGTTCACTTCAAGTTCTGGAAGGCAACCAAGGGTAATGGCAAGTCTGTCTTGTTTTGGGAGTCTCTTAGACTTAACTGACCAACAACTCTGAGGTTTCTCATGCCTAGCCTCCTGGGTTGTGTTAGTTTATGCCTTGTGAAGGGACGTTATCACTCCATGTGACAAAATAGAGGAATTGTATTTATGTGATGGCGTAAGAGTGGCTTTAATTCCTAGAGCTGCAAAACAATCTTTAGACACTTCTGTTTAATTGCAGGGTAAGATAGTTTTGTGATTTAGTTGTAGGGAAGAGGATAACTAGGCTAAAAGCGTTCAATCAATTTACAAGTTTGTATAGTGACTTTACTCCTCCTGACTATAATAGGATTTCCGGGATGCTGTAGCCCATGCATCCAGACAACTTGGGAAGCCCGTGATTGAGGACCGGATCCTGAACCAGATCTTGTACTACCTGCCTCAGCTGTATGAGCTCAACCGGGATCTCCTGAAGGAACTGGAGGAAAGAATGCTGAGCTGGTAAGACTTGGACAAGCTACAGAGACCCTGCCAGGGAGAGAGTGCTGTCCTTATGCAGAATTGCTACAGTATGTTTAATTTCCTTGGCAGTTATCTGTACACTGACTATTTTGGGTGGCCATACCTTAGTGTGCTGTATTTAAATACATGTCATTTAAAAAGTTTTTCAATAATGTTTGCTCAGACCCATGCTCAGCCAACTTAGCTTTTGTTTTTTTTCCTCTCTCTCTCTCTCTTTTAATTTTTATTTTGTTTTTCTGTTTGATTATTGAGACGGGGTTTCATTTCCTGATACATTCCAGGCTGTAATTTGTTAAATTATCATTACCAAAATAATTCTGTACATATAAAATCCTTTGTTCTTTACAGAATTGGTTTTAAAGCCTAACGGTAGGCATATTTATGTAAATAATACAGAGGTTTAAATATTTCTTGCTGATACGAAAGGATTCTTCAGATTTTGCCCTGTAGATTAAGTCAGCGTTCAAATATTAAACATTCCTGAGAACCAGACTAAACTAATAAAAAAGGAAATGCTTCACTCATAGAAAAAGTTTTACTTACTGCTCATAAAATCGTTCAAGTATCTTGAATAAGGTATTTCCTATGGAAATGGCCTTTTCACTGGGTCTGCTGGAGCCCAGGTACTCGGGAAGGTGAGGCAAGGGGACCAGAGTTCATCGAGTTGAACAGGCAAGTTACTGAGTCTGTTTCAAAACAAAAAGCGAAAGACAGGTTGGCAAGATGAATCAGTGGATAAAGGCGCTTGCCACCAAACCTGCTGACCTGAGTTTGACCCTTGGAACCTGCATGGTAAAAGGAGGTAACTAATTGCCACAGTTGTCCTCTGACCTCACATCTGTGCCCCACTCGAAATAAATCTATAACTATTTTTAAAACGGAAGGAGGCCTCAGGATTTAGCTTAAAGGTTTGCCTACCATACAAGAAGCCCTAAGATCATATATTTATATCAGCGCAGCTAGAGCACCATGTAGATCAAAGTGTATATGTCTTAGTAAGACCAATTTAAGGGTCACACTGTTAGAGAAATTACAGTATTTTCAATTCTGGGACAGCTAGAGAGGAGCCAGTCTTCATAAAACAGAAGTTTGAAGCTCTAGGGCCTAGAGTGACACTCGGTGACACTGAGATAGTTAAGCCGGTGTGCAGTCTCTCCCTGCCCAGGAAACTTGGAAGCAGAGGCCACCTTGTTGATCTGGAAAATCTTGGCTCCTTATCAGAGTGACACTCCTGTAGTCACGAAGGACACACTTAGCCAGTACTTACTCTCTACCTCGATCTCCAGTCCATGCATAGATCATGCTCTGCTCCATAAGGAAGGGCATGGTCTGAGGCCACTGGTACTTCCTGACCTACCCATTGCCTGTGGCAACACAGTTTTGTTGGGGCAGAGCCATGAGACACAAGGTACTTAAAGCTGCGGTCAGGGAATCCATGTCCTTCTGGCTACCACCACCCCACATGGCAGTAGCCCTTGCCTGCCTCCTTAGTTATCTGATGTTTTGAAATAAGTTACTATATTGTCTCACTTTGTAGCTGCCTTGACTTGGGATCCACTATGTAGTATAGGCTGATGTGGAACTCATAGCAAACCTTCTGTCTTCCCGAGTACTAGAATTACAGGCACGAGCCACCATGCCTAGCAAAGATTTCATTCTCCAAGGTTTGGCTATCTAAAGTGCTAGCTGGTAATCTACATATGACAGGCATATCACAGTACACAAAATATACAAGGTCTTGCTTTTCATGGAATAGGCATTGTAGTGTGGAGAAGGACAAGGTAAATAGACAAGAAAAGTCAGAAAAAGCATTTCTGATTTTTGGAGACTGTTAATATGCCGGGGTGCTTCGTGAAGATTAGATGGTCAAAGAAGGTTCTCTAAGAAAGTGGACCACATAGTCAGTAGTAGCGTGCTTGCCTAGCACATATAAGGTGTTTAGATTTCAGTCCCCTCCCCCTCAATGCGGAGCGTGTGAATTGGCATGGGAATACGGGACTGTGGAGACTCCAAGGGCTCCATATCTCCAGGCATGTGGGACCATTAGTAAAAGGGTACAAGGTGGGAATGGACTCTGTGTGCTCTTATATTTAAGATCCTCAGAGCTGGGTGTAGTGGCACTCACCTGTAATCACAGGAGGGTCATGAGCTCAAGACCATTCTGGATAACTTAGTGATACCATCTACACACATACTCACACACACATACATACACAAACACATATGCATACGCATGCACACACACACACACATACACAAACACATAAGCATACACATGCACACACACATACATGCACAAACACATAAACATACACATGCACACACACATACATACATACACACATAAGCATACGCATGCACACACACATACACACACACACACACACAAATAAATAAATAATGAAAAGAAGGCACTATTGCAAGTTACTTAATAGGATGTAAATTTTTTTTTTTTAGACTCTTGCTGCACTAAAGAATGGAATAGAGAGGAATAGTGGGGCCGGTCAGAGCCGGCAGAGTCTGGACAAGATGTGTTCATGGCAGGGGCAGTGGTGAAGAGCAGGCACCTTACGGTGTGTTTTTAAGAAGAAGGAAAATAAAAGGATAAGCCGATGGCTTTTCTGTGCCTTGCGCATATGATGACTGCTTTCATGTTTTCTGTACCTTCCATGCATAGGAATGAACAACAAAGGATTGCTGATATCTTCGTAAAGAAGGGGCCGTATTTAAAAATGTATTCCACATACATCAAAGAATTTGATAAGAACATAGCTTTGCTGGATGAGCAGTGCAAGAAAAACCCAGGATTTGCTGCGGTTGTTAGAGAATTCGAGGTATTTGCTACCATGTAACATTGAACTCTCTTCCCCCTTACATTCTTTTATGCCTTAATCATTTATAGTCACTGAAAAGAAAATGTGTTCAAATGTAACCTCTTCTAAATCATAGAAGGAATCAGTTGACCACACAAATCAGTGAAACCTCAAATGGTCCAAGATTCCATTCTGAAGGTCTGTTGCTGCAAGTTGAACTGTTTGGATGGGTAAACAGTATGTTGTTGTTAGTTAGCTAGTTAATTTGCTTGAAATAAGGTTTCACTCTGTAGCTGGGCTGACATCAAAGTCCTGGCTTTCAAGTGACAGCTGGTACCTGTGCCCCAGCACTTGGGAAGCTAAGGCAGGAAGATACAAGGAATTCAAGGCCATCCTCAACTTCATAGTGAGTTCTAGGCCAGCATGGACTATAGGGATCCCTTTCTCAAAAACAAAACAAGGACTCACAAGATAGCTCAGAGGGTTAAGGTGCCTGCTGGCAAGCCTGACCACCCAAGTTCAATCCCCAAGACCCTACATAGGAGATGAAAGAGCTGACCCCTGAAAGTTGTCCTCTGACCACAACACGCATGCATGGCATGTGTGCACCCAACACACACATACGCATACATGTTCAGACACACACAAGTAGTAAATAGATAAATGAATAAAGAGATGAATCTTATTTTTAAGCCTGTGGTAAAATGTGTATACCACAGATTTATAATCTTAGCCATTTTAAGTATATTACTGTAGTATGCAGTATGTGGGCAATATTGTGTAATCATCCTTCCAAAGCATACTTAGTCTTGCAAAATTGAGATTCCATGGCCATTAAACATTAACTTGTCCTTCTCTTCCCCCCTGGCCACCCTATTCTGTCTTTTGTCTTAAATTTGGATACTAAGGGAACAGTTCCTGTTTCTTTCTACCCAACAGTGTCTTCCATTTGTATGACAGCAATGGAAAGGAACATAATTTTTGTTAGTTAAGTAAATAAATACACTTTGAGCATCAAAGTTAAAAAAAAAAAAAGCAACTTTGTCTTTATGTGTCAGCTAGAGCCTTGTGTTTTGGCTGAAAGTTTGGAGATGCAAACTTGACTTGGTGGGGATAAAATGACATTGTACATTGTTTCCCAGACTTGCCTCAAATGTGTTATTCAACCAGGGCTGTCCAGGACCCTCCTCCACCTGCCTCGACCCCCTACCCCTCTCCCTTGCTGTACATCCACCATGTCTGACAGAAGGGAGCACCTCTGTGAATTCTCCTCCCGAGTTGCTGGCTGCTCAGGGTTGACTCTCTAAGGGATTCAGCTGCACTCTTTGCTTACTGGGCTTACTTTCAATGCTCTTTTTTCTCTTCAGATGAGCCCACGGTGTGCCAACCTGGCCCTGAAGCACTACCTGCTGAAACCAGTTCAGAGGATCCCTCAGTACAGGCTGCTGCTGACAGGTGGGGTCTCCGGCCTTTACCAGCCAACTGACTCCTAGCTGCCCTTTCTGAGCACTGTCTTCCCTAGGCACGCCTCTTCCGTTTCTCCGCTAACCACTGCCTAGCAGACGTTATGAGGAGTGATCAGTGAGCTAAATTGTGTGCACAATCCTTAGAATTATTCTTTGGACATACTTACTATGTTCTAACAATATTCCCTAATCTTAGCAATAGTACCAGTAACGTGACTATTATTAGTTGGGTTCTCTGACCATCATTTGCAAGCTTTTTCTCTGACTAGTGTAGAAGAGAGTATGGGGTATGATTTGGAAGAAGGCATCTGCACTTGAGACTTTTGTTTCCTGGCTGTTTAAATCTTACCCTAGTAACAGTAACACAGTAACAAGATTTTTTTTCATAGCCAAAAAAAAAAAAAAAAAAAAAAAAAAAAAAAGGCTTATAAAGATTAAGTGGTTTGATGTCATAATAAAAGCTAATACACATCATGTCAGTACCAAGTGTACTATCTGATAAATGTTATTAAGTCTACTGAGAGCTGCTGAAATGTATTGAGGAGAGGGAGAGAATTATATGTATTATTACATTACACTTTGTATCAAAGTGGGTAAGAACATTGAAATGTCATCACAATTTAATAGTAGATATGGGTGGTTCGGTGGAAATAGAATTTGAGGAACTTGGCTGTGACTGTTGTCCTTGGGGAAAAAAAATGTGCACGCTGTGTCCTTAGCCGGAGTCTCTTGAACCAAGATCAATAGATTTGCCCATTTCCCTTGATGCAGAAGCTTCTGGCTTCCCTCGGTAGTGAGGAGAGTGGATGGTAGGGCCCTTACTTTCAGTCCTGCCTGTGACCTGCCAGCCAAGATATGTCAAGGGCTGAATTCGAATTTCTAACTGCAAATTAGGCACTAGATTTCTCTCTGGAATGATATACAGCAAAGCGAATAATCTGAGGATATCCTGCCCATCTGCACTTGCTTTCCTCTGCTCTTGGCTGAGAGTATTCATTCACAGGACGGGAGGAAGTACTGGTACACACAGTGTTTTTGCTAGATAAATCTAAAGCTCTGCCCTAAGCCAGCTATTGGATAGCATTGGCTGTTTCTACAGCTGTAGAGTGAGCAGCGTTTCTAGTGGCCAAAGACAACGGTGGCTCAGATTTGAGAAGCAAGGGTCAGGCTACTGAAAGTGAAGTGTAAAAGGTATCTTTCCTTCCTATACTGTGGCTGGTCTGCATAGTAAGTCTGCCTGTTTAATTTAGATTTCGTGCTAACTTGTTTTTGGTGGCAAAATAAGAAAAGTAAGTTTTTAAACCTGTGTGTGTGTCCTCTTTTCCTTTGTAAGACAAAGTTTCATTGTGGAGACAGCAAAGCTCTCCTCAAACAACTTCTAGTCCGGCCTTAGTCTCTTCAATGCTAGGATTGCAAGCGTGTATCACTATACCTGCCTTTCACATTTCCTTTTCTTACATTTACTCGTGTGTGTGTGTGTGTGTGTGTGTGTGTGTGTACACGCAAGACATAACTTGGGTGAAGGTCAGAGGATAGCTTGCAAGACTCCATTTTCTTCTTACGGCGTGGGTCATGTGGACTGAACCAGGTTACCAGATTGGTTGGTTGACAGTGCTTTTATCAACTGAGCTATCTCACCAGCCTTTTAGAAACTGTTTTTCTAAAAATTATTTCTTTTATTTTTGAGATTATAATTACATTTTCCCCTTCCCTTTCCTCTCTCCACACCCTCCCATTTACCCCTCCTTGCTTCATCCAAATTTGTGGCCTCTTATTTTATTAGTTAAAATCTGTTTTTAAGAAAACAGATTTGGGGCTGGGGATGCAGCTGAGTTGGTAGTATGTTCCAGGTATGTCTGAAAACTTGGATTTAATCCCCAGCAATACACAAATGGGGCATGGTAACATGTATCTGTAATCAAAGCAAACATTTTTATTGTTTTATCATACCAATATCACAAGAGATTGAACTTTATTTTAATTTTTTTATGTGTGAGCTTAAATTCTAATTTTACTGTTGACTCAGGCAGGGTATTGCCATGTAGTCCTGGACGGCTCAGTACTTGCCATTGTAACCCAGACTGACTTCAAACTCACTGTAATGCTCTTGTTTCAGACTAATGAGTGCTAGAATTGTAAACACATTCCACTACACTACTCTTTCAATTATTTTCATTTTAGTTTTTTTTTTTAAGTTATATACACAGTTCATATAAGAGCCTAGACTGGTCTAGAACTCATATAGCCAAAACTGCCTAAAACTTGTAGGAATTTTCTTGTATGTATGTATGTATGTATGTATGTAAATATGTACATATACCACATGCATGCTTGTACTCACCAAGGTCAGAAAAGGCCATCCTGTCCCCTGGAACTGGAGTTAGGGGTAGCTGTGGACCACAGGAATTGAACCTGGGTCTTCAATAAAAGCAACAGGTGCTCTTACTGCAGAGTCATCTGTCTCCAGTCTGGACCTTTAGACCCATGTTTGGGGGGAAAGTTCAGATGTCTTAGTCCTCCCAACAATCTTACGATTTCAAATGCACAAGTGGCACAGTAGCTGAAGGGAAGAGCCGGCCTTTATTTGAGTGAACTCCTGATGCTGTGTATTTTTTTAAGTATTTGGCAGAGCAGGGGAAGATTCCTGTCTGATTCAGTGTCAGTAGATTTGTATTTGCCTGAGTTTCTTGGCAGAGGGAGGCTGAGAAACGCATAGATGAAGGACCCATAACACAGGTTATTTCTTCTTTAGCGAAAAGTGGATGGAAATCCCCAGAGGCAGGGGACTTTGCTCCTGTTCAGCCATCCTGTTTTCTTGTGGTTCTTTTCCGTCCTTCAGGAGAATTCAGGTCCTGCTGACGTTCTCGCTGTCTTCCTTGTAGTAAACTAAATTCTTGGTGGAAATTCTTGTAGAACCCCATTGGTAGAGCGCATGGACATGCCTTGCATCCCCCAGCTCTGCTAAAATAGATGCACACATAAACTAGTTCATTCTTGGGAGTAGTTCTTTTAGATCAACTCAAAATAAGACCCAAGCGGATGGACACAGTTGTAGAATGAATTGTTCAAAGAGACATGGAGTGAGTGATTTGCTTAATGCATGCTGAATGCTTTTGAATTTTGCTTTTGTGTTGACTAGTCAAGGCTAATGTGTTATGGTCAGGCCCTATCCTAAGTGTATGGGGTGCTCAGATGCTCCTGACTGGGGAGTATGGGAATTAGAAATCAGCAGGCCAGAAGAAAGCAAACACTGTTGCAAGAAGAAGCAACTCTGTTGCTTCCTTCTCATCTCCCAGAAAGGAAGCTATCTGGGTCGGTCAGTGATCTTGACCCATATCAAAGATTTAACCAACCGAAAGGGTTAGGAAATGAAAAGTTGTTTCTATTTATGACCGTGTGCTGAGTGGACAGACTGCTACATAGTCAAAAGCAAGCTCCAGTTGACTCCCGTACTTGGAGACGGACTGAACTTCCCAGTCTTTCTCCCTGGTAGGATCTCCAGGGTTTCCTGCCCCTCTGGTTCCTGCTGCTGTTGGGATCCAGGTCAGGGCTTCCCCACCCACTCCCTGTGCAGAAATGTCTTCATGCTGGCCACACCAATGATCATGCCACGTCACCCAGCAAATCATTGCTTCTGCTTATTAGATTCTGGTGATTTGTTTGTTACTTAATTCACTCACTTACTTACAGCTCTGATTGTGGTCTGTGTCTGCCTGTCTGTCGAAGCACGCCCTTTCAGGCTCCCTTCACTCATACGTTAGTCACTCAGTCAGCAAATGGACACCTGGGCCTGGCAGATAGCACGGTAACGCCCTTTCCCGACAGGCTATACCACCCTCTCTGAGGCTCCGTCCAACTACTCCGGCTCCCACTGAGCTCTTCCTAAAATTTGTATGGATCTTGCCACTTCTTATTTTTGTAAGGGTCACCTTTTTCCTTTGAAGGGCTCTTTTATACATGGAAAAATATGTAAGTAATATAAAAAGTCAAATCCTTTTTCATCTTCTGTTATTTAGAAATGACTCAGAGACCTTTTCAGATTTTTAAAAAAATCTCTACATATATTATATAGTATATTAGAATTTTTTCTCAATAAAAGTTTTTTTGTGTGGAATGTTATTACATTGGTATTGAAGGAAGTTTAGTCAGGAGGATTGAGGAGAAAGTATATTGAAAAACATAATTTAAAATGCTTCTGAAAACTTTTCCACATCCACAGTGATGGCCAAACAACTGTCCTTTGAACTTTGATTCATTGTATTTTCTTTCATCTCATTCAAAATATTTATGTTACATTAAAGTTGTTTTAGCGATATATTTTATTACTCTTTCCTATAGCCTTTACTTTGACTGAGATGACATTAATTCCCTCTCGGTTTTGGAAACCCAAGATTTTCCATGTTGGTAGAAAATGGGATATTAAAAACATCTGTTGTAGTATTCTGAAGCTTCGAATATGATAACCAGATTAAGCTGCAGATTTTAAAAAGTAAATTAATACACTACACTTTAAAAAATATCCTTATTAAAAACTCCTGTTAGCAAGTATTTTATTTTAAAACCAGGGCTAATTGTGTACATCAAAATCATTTTAATTAAGCATATCATCCCATACCTTTAATCACAGCACTAGGGGCCACAGGAGGCCAGCTTATCTACATAGCAGGTCCCAGGCCAGCCAGGGTTACATAGTAAGACCCTGTCTCAGTACAGTTTTTTTTTTTAATTTAAAAAGGTTATTTCAACACCACCTGTAGGTTAGCACTTGATTTTAAAAGGATGGTGGTGGCCATATATTAGATTTCAGACAAGAGAATTTCCTTCTCACAAACCCAAAGACTTTGATGGAGGCATTTCTATCCATCTTCGAGAGGAAGAAAATGCCATTCAGAATTTGTGTTTATTAGCTCAGCTCCTGGGCTATTGCAGTTCTGTTGTTTGTGTTTGTTGTGTTTTCTCTGTGTAGCCCTGGCTGTCCTGGAACTCTCT